CAGCACAGGGGGCAGTGCGATCTAGTGGATGGGGCAGTGGATGGGAGTCAGGAGAGCTGGGCTCTATTCGGAGCTTGGCTGCTGTCAGGCAATCACTTCAGCTCTCTGAGCCTTCGTTCCCTCTCCCACCCTTTGTCTATCTTAACTATTAAGACTGAAAGCCCTTCGGGGCAGGGTTTGTCTCCCACTATAAGTATGTACAGCGCCTTGCACTGTGGAGCCTTGTTCTCATTTGGGGCACCTAGACATTACAAGGGATGAAATCTCTCCTAGTAAATCCCCTGGAAAGAGGCCAGTCCGTTCATTAGTATTTAATGTTTGGGTTGATCAATGTGGAATTACTTTGTGCCCTAGTGGATCGAGCACTGGATTGGGATGCAGGACACCTTGGTTCTATTGCCGGCTCTGCATCTGGATGACCTGGCATTCAGCTCTCCCACGGTCCATCTCCCAGCAAGGTTGGAATGTCACATTCTGGTTCGTTTGTGCTTGTTTGTCTCACACCAGCCTTTTGCCCTAAAGGAGGGGTGGAAAGTCAGACATCTCACTCTGTTATAGGAATGTAAGATCAGCTGAGATGATTTTAAGACATTAATAGTACTAAATAGTAATAAATAAACTCCTTGGGTGGATGCAGCCAACAGACCTGTGTGTGTGTGCACACGTCTTAATTCTAATTGTGTAGGATAAAGCTCCTGCCTGCATTTAGGAAAAGCTATTTCTATTGCTGTATGCTTTTAGGGCAAGTCACTGCCGCTCTGTGCCTCAGTTTCCCCATCTGACAATGACCTCCCTTGTAAAGCGCTGGGAGATCGGCTGATGGAAAGCATGGTGTAAGTGATAGGAATGATTAATACTGGAGCCAATTCCCTGCAACCCTTATCCAGGCCAAACTGGTCACTCACATGGGTAGCTCGATACCTGGGCTTGTTGCAGATGGCTTGGTCCCAAAGCAACATGTTACGCTCCCCAGGGGTACCCAGGGCTTTGGGGCACCTCTCTACCACCTGCCCTTAGCATGAGGGAGCCTTGTCTGTATCTGCCAGGTGTTAGCTTCCTGTCTCTCTCAGGGTATGTCTACACTACAGGATTAATCCGAATTTAGATAATTCGAATTTGGGAAACAGGTTGTATAAATTCGATTGTGCGCGGCCACACTAAGCACCTTAATGCGGTTTTAAACCACATTAATTCAGTGGTGTGCGGCCACACTACCCCATTAACTTAAACACAGTAATTCGGTGGTGTGCGTCCACACTAACCCTAATTCGAATTAACAAAATCGATTTAGGCTCTACTCCGTTCGTCGAGGTGGAGTACAGAAATCGATTTAAAGGGCCCTTTAATTCGAATTCACTGGCTCTGTAGTGTGGACGGGTGAAGGGTTAATTCGGATTAAGGCAGCTAAATCCGAATTAAAGTCCTAGTGTAGACCAGGCCTCAGACACAGGCAACACAAGCACCTCCCTCTCAGCCCACGCAGGCTCCGCTGTCCCTCCTGCAGGCGAGCGATAGGCGCGCCAACGCCCAAGCCCTCAAGTGTCCCCCTGCAGTGCTCAGCCCCTAGACGCTCACAGAATTACCAGAGCCATTGGTCCCAAAGGAACACTACACCCCAGCTTCCTAGTTACACCACAGAACCCAGCTCAGCTTAGCTCGCCGCACCTAGCTATGTCTGTAGTGAAAACAAGAATACGTTCACTGAACTAAGAGCAGAGAGTCAAAAGAGCAAGTAGGATTCATGGGAACAAAGGATTGCATGTCAAATAAAACCATAACATGCATTCTAGAACTTAAACTTAACGAACAAGCTGCCATCCGTCTAATAAGGTCCTGCTTACTCAAAGCCCTTCCCACAGTGTTTTTCAGCTAGGATGGCTGGGACCCTCCTTGCATGAGATTCAGGTCTGCTGGCAACTTGTCTCCCCCCGATGAAGGGTCTCTACATTAGGAGCCTTTGAGGATCTGGGCCTAGATTTAGGTTCCCAGGTCCTTTTGAAAATCCCACTAAACACCTCTCTGCATCTTTAGACACTTAAATACCTGGCTCTAAAGTCTTATGTTTGGCAGGAAAGCTCCCACCTACTCTAGGAACAAACTCACTCCCAAATCCATTGGCAAATTGATCTCTCTGTAGGAATACAACTGTGAGCTATTCTGGACCATTGCAAACACCCCTTTTTTGACCTTTTCTCAGGGGGATTTGTAGAGCTCTGCCAATATTTATTTCCCCATTGCCCGGTTCTCATACATCTACAAAGGTTTCTACCTTGCATCAAAGGGAGCCAGAGGCGTAGCGAGCGCCCTACGTACCCTCCGACCGGAGGGGGCCCCGCAAGGAAGGGGGCCCCTAAAAGTGGCAAAATAAATACCGCATTCCAGTTTCTGCATTGTAAGGGGCCCCGCCCGGACATATGTTCGGAGGGGGCCACGTTCGGAGGGAGCCACGTTCTTTATTGCTACGGCACTGAAGGGAGCAATCAACAACATACATTTAAGATGTATGGAATATAGACGCCTGGTGCCTCCCCATACTGGGGCAGCAGAAGCTAAAGGGGAGGACACATGACTGCCACAAGTGTCTTTTCCCAGCCCCACGCTCTCCCCCACCCAATGTCACTTGTGGGGGGAAGGGACTCTGTCCTTCATAGAATCTCAGGGTTGGAAGGGACTTCAGGAGGTCATCTAGTCTAACCCCTGCTTAAGGCAGGACCAACCCCAACTAAATCCCTAAATGGCCCCCTCAAGGATTGAACTCACAACCCTGGGTTTAACAGGCCAATGCTCAAACCACTGAGCTATCCCTTCCACTACATTAGCTCTCCCTGGCAGCCAGGCCTGGGTGGGGAGCAGGACGGAGCCACTCCAGGTTGCTGCTCCGTGAAGTGTAGCCAGCTGCCTGGGAAAGAGCCCGGCTGGGGAGGGGCAGCAGCAGCTTCCGGGGACAGGGGCTGAGCATGCTGGGGAGCAAGGGGGGGCTCCAGCTCTCTCGGCCGCTGTCCCCAGAAGCCGAGCCTGCGCAGGCGCAGCCCACCGCTGCAGCCAGGTGCTCTCCCAGGCAGCGCCCGCGCTGCACCAGGCAGCATCCCAATGGCTGGAATAGGCTCTGGCCCCACCCCTTCTGCTCCCCGCCCGGGCTGGCTGCTGAGAGGGGGGCTCTTGACTCCTCAAACTCCCCACCACCTGCCTCATTTATTGTCAAAGATTTGTAGCTTCCTTTTCTTATTCCCCCAGGAGAAACTGGAGGGCACAGTGTACGTGTCTGTTTCCAGTATCCGTGTGCTGCTTTTGCCAAAGGGACGATTTTAACAAAGCCCCTTTATATACTCCAGGCACGCTGCGATTTTCACGCTGATGCAGAAAAGAGGGGAAAAACCAAAGGGAACCAAACGGCTGTGGACTGAGTGTAGCTGCATTAGTCAAAACGGAGCTTGCAGGAGCTTTCAATATACACCTGCCTGAGGATTCGTCTTCTGTTCCAATCGCTCTCGGCCTAAAGCATTAAATCATGCAAAATGAAAAACGTGCAGCGGGCTGAAATTACAAACTTGGTCTATTTTTTTTTTTAAATGAGAAATCATATGTCATGTCACCTCGAGTGAAAGCTAACTTAATATATTCCCTTAAAAGCCAAGGAGTATAATTTGGCTGTCATAAAAACCCACAGATTATAAAATGTGTTTTGTGATGTAGTTTGAATGGACTCACTGTGGCCTCCATATATGGTAAAACTGTCAAAGAGATGGTAAATAACATATAATTTGTGAACCGAACGAGTCAATCGGTAACCTGCTGCTGAAATAAGATGGGGCTCGAGGTCTGAAAGGGCACTCCATGGCTTTTTGTTTCTCTGCCACCCCAGATCGCTGCTGAATGGGGTCCGTGGGGCAGAGGCGATTGTTAGGCAGAGGGAACCACAATTAAGGCTGTAAGAAAGCTGCGCCTGTTTGGTTCAGAAGTTGCGGCCGCAGTTAAAGTGGTGGTTTCGGTGTGGTCAGTTCAAGTACCGTTAAAAAAACAACAGATACAAAATGGCTGCCCCTCCATCATGGTGGGCAGGTGTGTGTAGAAGGGCCCTCAAGGCAGAGGCGTGGTGGGATACAGGGTAGGGTGGGCTTCAGAACAGAGGTGTAGGGGCCATTTAGACCAGAGGGGTGGAGGGTTTGTGAGGCCGGCTGGGGGCTGCAAGACCTAAACTCCTGTTTTGTAGCTGAGTAGATGTTGAGTTGGCAGCAGGGCCCTTTGCCCCCCAACAGGGGCTGGATTACCCCCACCCCCAATCCTCAGGACAAGGTCAGGGGACCCCTAGAGTCGTCCCCAGCTCAGAGACTCTTGGCATGGCCGGGCGGCTGCAGAAGGCAAAGTCCTCAGTCACGCAGGAGCTGCTGCTGCTTGGTGGGCCCAGCCTGTGCCACCTGGCAGAGGCATAGCTGCACCTGGGTGAAATGTGAGGCCAGCACTAGCAGGGCTGAGTGCAGGCAGGGGGTTCACTGCAGAGCTGCGGCAGCGAACAGGAGAAGCCGCCTGGGGAGACTGACTCCAGCTTGCACGGATCCCTGTCCCCGCTCCCCATCCCCCTACCGGATCATGATGGAGGGGTGGCCAGGCCAAATTTGAGTGATGTTGTGACCCTGTCAGCGGCACTGCGACCTGGTGCATGGGGTCACAACGCCACTCAAATTCTTGGCGACTATAAAAAGTTGCCGTGAGTGCTGGAAGTTGTGGCAAGCATTAAAAGTTGTGGTTTCTGCAACAAAGTTGTGGCCTGTGATTTTCTTACAGCCTTAATCAGCATTCCTAGTAACATGGCATTAAAGCTGTTAAGGGAATTGTGTATGGGTTGTGTCTTGGGGCTGTCTATGTCCTGTGCTTGTACAGTGCCGAGCACAATAGGGCCCTGGGCTTCTAGACACTACAGTAATAGAAATAAATAATAATATCTGTATAGCACTGGCTCGGGAAGCCACATCTTGCTATACCCACGTGGAATGCACACAAAACCCCAGCCAGAAAGAACATAAGGATGAAGCTGGCTTGGGGTAACCTGACACATTTGGCATTTGTGGGGTTAATCTGAGGAGGGCAGCACCCGTCAGGATGCCCACAATAAACCTGCTCCACAGAACTGTTGAAACAGTGAAACAGCAACAGAGGAGAAATGCACAAATATTCCAAGCTGGTGATTTCAGCAAGCCACCTGCTGAGGAGTGTTGGGCGGAGTAGGCACAGCTCACGCTGCTGGATGAGCAGAAAGACAACAGGCTGCATGGGTGAAATCCTGGGCCTGTTGAAACGAAAACAAAACAGGATTTCACCCTCTGTGCTAAGCAGAAAGCCCTCCTACCTGGAAGTGCCTCATTATACCAAGTTCCTCCCAGAGCCTCTCCTGGGCCTCTTGGGAACTAGAGGACCAAGAACTCTATGAATTTAACTCCTCTCTCCACCCCATTCCACTGGCTTATGCGGATCATCAGGGGACAGTGCTGGAGGCAGCCAGATGCGCCCGCCCCATGGGAACATCATGCTGAATACAACTGCGGGGATGCCACGGCCAGCCCTGAGCCACTAAACGTTTGCAGACTCCACAAAGTCTGCTAGGGACTTTGCTATTGATTTCACACAAAAGGCGCTCAGATAGCATGGTGATGGGCAGCAATAAAGCTTAGCTAGGCTCCTAAACACCTTTGAAAATTTAGCCCGGGGAGACTAAGGTCCAGATCCCCAAAGGTATTTAGGCACCTAACGCCCATCAATCCTTCCTTTGTCTTAAGAATAATTATATTACAATGTTACGCTAGGTGCTGTACAAATGCAAAGATAGCGGCAGCTCTGTGTGTGGAGAATAGAAGAGTGAACGAGAGAGAGAAAGGTAGCTGGTTCACCCTGAGCTTAAGCAGTCAAAAAAAAGTGTAGGCTCATTGATTTAACAAACCATCTATAAATAGACAATTAAATCACGCAGCCTTTTCCGGAAGCCCTAGTGTGTGAAGAGCGTGGCTGATCGCTGTGGAATCAGCTAAAAGTCACCTTTGTGGCAGCATTCTATTGACACTGTTATGCACACAGGTTCCTTATTATATTGCCTTGAGGGATTCAGATCTATATTTTCTCGATGAAGTAAGAAAAGCATTAAAGTGCATTTGGTATTTTTAATACAGCGACAGTATCAGAGAAAGTCAATCCCGAGAGTTAGACACGCTTTTACAACCCGAACAGCCGTTCCTAATGTAGGGCCCACTTCTGCCTGCCTTATTTGCATAGCGTAGGACCTTATTCTGCGAGTCGGGACTGTGCACAGAGTAACAGTGACAAAGTCAGGCCCTTGGTTTTCTCAGGATCGATTATATCAGGACAGATCCTCCACCGCTGTAAATGGGTACAGTGCCATTCACGTCAATGGAGCTATGCTAATTCACACCAGCTCAGGATCTGGCCCATTGTTTGTAAACTGACACTGTATTTACCTGATAATGCAGCCGCTGTTACAGCGGCTGCATGTACAACTGTGGTGCTTTACTCCCGGTGAGTTACAAGGAGCTGACGTCACAGCCTCAGTGGGAACGACTAACGCGGGTGTCTTTTTATAGTCTGTGTTTCTAGCACAGGCCATGCAACAGCGATCTCGGGCTCAGCAGAGACAGAGGCAGATTTTAATGCAGATAGCTAAAAAAAGACTAGACCCCTTCAGACGTAGAAATTACCAGTGTCCAAAGCTATGAGGCGGCAATATGTGCAAGTTGGCAGGGTTCTCAGGATACCCGGGTCCCAATGCAGCTCTTCCTGTGACTGTGGGCCAGTCACCTCCCCTCTCTGTCCCACCATTTCCCCTCCTACCCGTTAGCTTGTCTATGTAGGCTGTAAGTGTAACGCCGACAGACCCCGGTTGTCGGTGGGTGGGATTGAACCTGGGGCTTCTGGAGCTTAGTGCATGAGTTAAAAGCCAACCAACACACACACACACACACACCTCTCTCTCTCTCAGCTGGGGCCTCTGGGAACTGCTGGAATAATAATTTTTCTGGGAACAAAACTTCAAAGGCCTCATCCAAAGCCCACTGCAGTTAATGGGAAATTTTGGGTCGGGCCCTAAAAGAAAGTAGCGCACCCGTTTCTACTCATCTCTCTGCAAGAACGTAGGCAACACCCGAATCAGATTTCACGTTTAGAGAGCAGTCAGTATGGACGACAAGGGAAAGTACCACCTCTTCCACATGTGTCCACCCTGTTGTTCTAAAAGCCTAGAAAAGTGCTCTGCCCCCCCAGTGCGCCGTAGGAAATGCATCCTTTCAGTGTGCTAAGCTGGGGGGTGGATGTGATGATGCATCACAGCGGTTACACTCTCAACAGCCTGTCACACATGGCTGCAGTGACAGATTGCAGCGACCTGTGGGTGAAACAGGGCTCAGTGCAGAGTGTGATATATTTGAAGGGTTGAGCACAGTGCTGCAGCAGTTGATGTGAATTCGCAGGTACAGTTCTTTAAGCAGTTGAATATGTTGAATTGGTTACAGAGTGGTTACCGTGTTCCTTCTTCTGCAGTACAAGAGTGAGCGAGCCATCATGACTCCAGCTCCATCTGTGTTTCTAATTGGGGATTTGTGCTAACTCTACCGCATGCAATGATTGGCAACAAGGCCTTCAAGAGCCTTCCATGAATCAGAGTAGCAAAACAATCGATGACAATGCTTGCAGCCCCGAGGGGGAGAGAGGAGTCTGCTACAACTGTGGGAGCTCCGAACTACTAAACTGACAGCAGCGGGGTGAAATGGCAAGATCTGCTGGAGAAATGGAAGCCTTCGACAGTGCCATGGAGGACTGGCATGTATCAAGAGGCTGGAGCAGTATTTTGAAGTTAATGAGGTTCCCTCAGAAAATCATGGAGCAGCAATACTGAGTGAGATGGGAGGAAAAATGCACAGTTTAGTACCCACAGTCTGATCACCCAAGAGACGCCAGCAAGCAAAACCTTTTGAGAGAGAGTGCAAATTGTCCAAGAGCTCTTGGGACCCAAGCCACTGATTATGGCAGAAAGGTTCAATGGCGTCAACTTGAAGGAGAATCTATTTCCTCTTTTGTGACAGAGATAAAAAGATTGTCTGAACACTGTGCTTTTAAGGATGGGCTTAAGAGACAGATTTGTGTGTGGCCTGCTTAACAAAGCATACAGAGGCAGCTCAGCTAAGGAAAAACTTACCTTTAAACACAGTAGAAATTGGAGTTGTGATGGAAAGTGCGACAAGGGATGCAATAGAATTGAATACCAAAACTAAAACAGAAGTAGGAATGCATAAACTATCTGTAACCCAAGGCAAGAGTCGGTCCGCTCACCAGACAGATGCTATTGGTGTGGAAAAGGGTTCCACACTCCTTCTGACTGCTGATGTGAAGATGCATATTCACAGAGCTTGAACTGTCCCTTACAGTATTCACTCGAAGGTAGATGCTGAATTGGAACGTCTGGAAAGAGAGGCCATACTTTCAAAAGTGGCCTGGAGCAAGTGGGGAACGCCTATCCTTCCAGTTGTAAAAAAGTGTGGTGTAGAAAGGGTGTGTGGAGATTTTAAAGGTCACCATAAACCCTGTGCCGAAAGTTGAAATTTAGCCTGTGTTGAACTGAAGACATTTTTGCTACACTGACAGGGGGACAATGATTCAGGAAAATTGATTTGTCACAGACCTACCTACAAGTGGAAGCTGTCTGAACCATACCTCACAATCAAGACACAAGGCACAAAAGGTTTGTACCAGTAGAACAAGCTAATGTTTGGTGTTACTTCAGCTCCTGCTCTATGGCCATGGGCAGCGGACCAAGTTTAAAAGTTATCCTGAGAAGAGTGGTATTTGGATGACATTATTGTGACTCATGGAAGTGATGAAGAACATTTGGAAACCATGAAAAGGGCATTAAAATGTCTAGAAGAATATGGGTTATGAGCCAATTGCATAAAATACAATTTTTTCCAAGGACTCGACAGCTTATTGTGGGCGTGTTATTGATGCACAAGGCCTACATAAATCTCAGGAGAAGGTTAAAGCATGTCATGCTTCCTCACGAGGAATAGGGGCTGTTATATCACGCACTGTGCCAGGTGGCACTGAGAGACCCATAGCATTTGCCTCCAGATCGCTCACAGCGAGAGAATGCAACTATGCACAAATGGACAAGGAGGCTTTACATTTGGTACGGGATGTGAAGAAATTCCACCCGTACCTAGAAGAGAGGAAATTTATCCCTGATACAGACCACCAATCCCTAGTAGCAATCCTTCATCTGAGGAAGGGAGTTTCTGTGACAGCGGCAGTACGTATCCAACCCTAGGCTCTCTTCTTACCTTGGTTCCAGCCTGGGCTGGAACATCTCCACCACAATTAAATGGTCCCTTAGCCTAAGCCCGAGTCAGTTGGTATGGGCCAGCCGCGGTTTTTAACTGCAGTGTAGACATACCCTAAGAGGACCAAAAGAACGCCACCAAGGCTAAAGGGAGAATAATGGAGGCCGTTATAGGTAAAAAGACATCCTTTAAAATTTGGAAGTGAAATGCTAGTGAGCTTAATAGAAATGTGCACAAACTCTGGTGGGTTAAGTATAATAAAGGCAGGCCAAGAAAGAATTTGAGAAGCAACTTGCTAAAGATGCAAAAACTAACACTAAGACATTTTTTTATGTACATCAGAAGCAAGAAGCCCGTGAAACAGGCCGTGGGGTCACCAAACCACCAAGGTGCTAAAGGAGCACTCAAGAAGACAAGGCCATTGAAGAGAAGTTACGGGAATCTTTTGCATCGGTCTTCACTGCAGAGGCTGTCGGAGAGGTACCCACAGAGCTTTACTTTTTTTGGTGACAGATCTGAAGTATTGTCCCACATGGATGACCCAGCAGTAGAGGTTTTAGAAAAAAATTGATAATTTAAAGAGTAATAAGTCACCAGGACCAGAAGGTATTCCCCAATGAGTTCTGAAGGAACTCAAATGTGAAATTGCAGAACTACTAATAACCTATTGCTGAAACAAGCCTCTGTACCAGATGACCAGAAGGTAGCTAATGGTAATACAGATTTTTAAAACAATACTCCACAGGTGATCCTGACAGTTAGAGGCTGGTGAGCCTAACTTCAGTACCAGGCAAATTGGTGGAAGCTATAGTAAGGAACAGAATTATCAGACACATAGACAAATCTAATTTGTTGGGGAAGAGTCAACATGACTTTCGTAAAGGGAAATCATGCCTCACCAAGCTACTAGAATTCTTTGAGGGTGTCAATATGTCAACAAGCATGTAAATAAGAGTGAAAAAATCAATACAGTGTACTTGGATTTTCAGAGAGCCTTTGACAAGGTCCCTCACCAAAGGCTCTTAAGGAAACTAAAAGTCATGGGATAAGATGGAAGGTCCCCTCATGGATCAGTAACTGGTTAAGAAATAGGAAACAAAGGGCAGGAATAAATGGTCAGTTTTCACAATGGAGAGAGGTAAACAGTGGGATCCCCAAAAGATCTGTACTGGAACCATTGCTGTTAAACATATTCATAAAATATCTGGAACAGGGAGCGAACAGTGAAATGGCAAAGTTTGCAGCTGGTACAAAATTATTCAAGGTAGTTAAGTCTAAAGCCGACTGTGAAGAGTTACAGGGGGATCTCACAAAACTGGGTGACTGGGTAACAAAGTGGCAGATGAAATTTAACATTGATAAAGTACAAAATATCGCACACTAGTAAAAGTAATCCCAACTATACATACCAAATGATGGGGTCTAAATTAGCTGGTGCCACTCAAGAGAGATCTCGGAGTCACCGTGGATAGTTCTCTGAGAACTTCTGCTCAATGTGCAGCAGCAGTCAAAATGGCTAACAGTATGTTAGGAACCATTAGGAAAGGAATAGATAATAAAACAGAAAAATGTCACAATGTCACTATATAAATCCATAGTACACCCACACCTTGAATACTGCTTACGATTCTGGTTGCCCTTCTCAAAAAATATATTAGAATTAGAAAAGGTGCAGAGAAGGGCAACAAAAATTATTAGGCCATATGGAACGGCTTCCATCTGAGGAGAGATTAAAATGTCTGGGACGGTTCAGCTTAGAAGGGAGACAAGTAAGGGCAGGGGGACATGACCAAGGTCTATAATATCATGAACGGAGTGAAGAAAGTGAAAATGTTATTTACCCTTTTCCCACAAAATAAAAACCAGGGGTCACCCAATGAAATTAACAGGCAGCAGGTTTAATTCAAACAAGGGGAAATACTTCTTCACACCATGCATAATTAGCGGGTTTAATTCAAACAAGGGGAAATACTTCTTCACACCATGCACAATTTAACCTGTGGAACTTGTTGCCATGGGATGTGGTGAAGGCCAAAATTATAAGTGGGCTCAAAACAGAATTGGATAAGTTCATGGAGGATAGATCCATCAATGGCTACTAGCCAAGATGGTCATGGACGCAACCCCATGTTTGGTGGCAACCCTAAACCTCTGTCTGCCTGAAGCTGGGAGGGTAAGACCAGGTGGTTAACTCCAGCTGCCGGCTCTGTACACTCCCCTGAAGCTCTGCATTGGCCGCTGTCTAAGACTGGATCCTGGGCTAGAAGGACCATTGGTCTCACCCAGTATGGCAATTTCTATGAGTCAGAGGTCGGACTGGGAACCAAATACTCTCCAACGCCCTGCTCACAAAATAAGCTCCACCCCATGTGAATCACTCACATGAGACACCACTTGCAGTGGTCTATCCAGATGTTCAAAATAGGAGCATGCAGCTATCTGAGCAATGCACACAAGCCCACGCTTACCTGTAAATGTGTGCTTCAGTGCCTTCGATGTTCATGTGCTAAAGCATTTTGCTGATTCAGGGCCCAAACCAGGAAGCAAATAACTCATCTAGGCGCAATGAAAAGAGAAGAGTCCATCCCAAATAGTTACCCAGGGTAAGGCCCTGAAACTGCCCCCATTACAGCCAGCAGGACCTCAATGGGAGGAGGACTGGCTGTGTGAGAATCCAGCCAATATACACCTGCTAACTGGATATAGGTCTGAACCAACCCTTCAGAGCCAAATAGCCTGTAATTTGGCAATGCCTGGATTGGGATCCAGGCATTTGAGTTAAGCCTCTTTCTGCCTCTACCTTTAAGACCCAGGTTTTTGGGTCCAAGACCATCCCCAAAGGACAAGGCAGATGTTAATTGTATGTGGTTGAAGTAGAACTGGTTGGAAAATTATATTTTTTTCCTGTGAATAATTTCAATGAAAACAAAATCTTTTTTCATTTTTGTCAATATTTTTCTTCAAAATGTTTCAGGTTTTTGTCAGAAACTGAACTTTTTTGGGTTCTGGCAACCAAAACCCAACATTTTTCAGTTTAAAGTGTTGGGTTATGGTTGCAGAACAGTAAAAATTGTTCTGTTTTGGGATTTCAATTAAAAGTGAAAAGTTTATTGACAAAATGAATCTCTCCCCCCCCACCATGAATGATTTTCAACTCAATGGAAAATCAGTTTTCTGGAGGGGAACTAAAGAAGAGTCTAAATGGAAAATTTTCCAGGTTTCCTAGGTTAAAGTTTGAAATATACTGTATTATCTCATTATATTATGCAACATGTCCTCTTTGCCACAATACCATACGTGTCTAAGGGTACGTCTACACTTACCGGAGGGTCCGACGGCAGGCAATCGATGTTCTGGGATCGATTTATCGCGTCTGGTTTAGACGTGATAAATCGATCCCGGATCGATCCCGGAAGTGCTCGCCGTCGACGCCGGTACTCCAGCTCGGCGAGAGGAGTACGCGGCATCGACGGGGGAGCCTTCCTGCCGCGTCTGGACCCGCGGTAAGTTCGGACTAAGGTACTTCGAATTCAGCTACGTTATTAACGTAGCTGAATTTGCGTACCTTAGTCTGAAGTGGGGTGGTAGTGTGGACCAGGCCTAGTTGAAGGTATTAGCTACTCACTCTGAAATTACCCAGAGTCACTTCATAACCTCTTCGTACTTGAGTGCTCAGCAAGGCAAACAGCCCATTCCTGTCAGACCTGAAGAAGAGCTCTGAGTGGCTCAAAAGCTTGTCTCTTTCACTAGCAGAAGTTGGTCAATAAAAGATTACCTCACCTACCTTGTCTCTCATATGCTGGGACCAACACAGTTATACCACCACTGGATAAGGCCTGCTGCTGATAGTTTGCCATTGATCACTGCAGTGTTGAAGCTGCCATTTGTACGAATGGTTTCTCTTTTTAGCTGACAGATGGGCCAGTCTGACAGGCTGCCAAACCAGGACAGCTGGTGAAGGGAGTGGAGGGAGGAGCCCACCACACAACCGGGGATCCATCAGGGAAAGATCTTTCGATGCCCAGGAAAGGAGGAGAGGCTGCCTTTGATCACTATAGAGACCATGTGGGTGAGGTGATACCTTTTATTTGACCAGCTTCTGAGCTCACACAGAGCCCTTCTTGAAGTCTGGGGAAGGAACTCCCAGCATCACAGCAAAATGAAGGGTGGAGCAGATTGTTTAGCATAAGTAGTTAGCACATATTGTAAGGGACATCAAATGGATAAGACCCACTGGGGCAGCGGGCTTGGGTAGCGCACAAACAGTTTCGGTTGGAAGGAGACTCAGGTGCCTGTTGATTTGGGATCTAACTAGTGACGCTGACCAACCGTCACGATGTTCTCATTAATGGCCAAGTTATCTATCCATCCATCCATCCATCCTCATATACAGCGGCGGCTTCAGGCACCAGCGCTCCAAGTGCGTGCCTGGGGCGGCAAGCCGCGGGGGGCGCCCTGCCGGTCCCTGCGAGGGCGGCAGTCAGCCTGCCTTCGGCGGCTTGCCTGCGGGAGGTCCGCCAGTCCTGCGGATTCGGCGGCAATTCGACCGTGGGTACGCCGAAGCCGCGGGACTGGCGGACCTCCCGCAGGCATGCCGCCGAAGGCAGCCTGCCTGCCGTGCTTGGGGTGGCAAAAAAGCTAGAGCTGCCCCTGCTCATATACACCGTATTCATCAGATCTATCTATCTATCCATCCCCATATATACCTCTCTATCTAATCTATCTGTGCATTAATCCATTCCCCTATTCATCTCTCTTCATATACACCCATCTATCTTTTTGTCTATGGACAGGGATCTCTCGCTCACATATGGGTCTCACTACCATAATATCTGAGCATCTCCATTACTTAAAAGATGACAATATCCTCTCTTGTTCTTCCCTGCCATAATAATAATAAAAATGATGAGTTTATAAAAGACCCTCCACCAAGGGGCTCAGATTGATGCCATTCAGAATACAGTACAATGCAAAAGATCACCAAAAAAATAATAGAAAAGTCAGGTAGTATTTGCTGTATTAACTTAACTACGTCTGCAGAGACAGAGCGAGTAGGCATTCCAGCTGAGTCTAATATCTGATGCTGATTGCAGCTGGAAGCCAGCTGATGGCCCAGATTGGGAAGGCTTCACTTGGAATGGGCAAGGCAGTTTACTTCTCGGGCTGAGCCTTCAGACAAACTGCCGATGAGATGAGTCAGTTCCAGACGTCCCTTATGGCTCTAGGTACGTGGCTGCATCAGTTAATAAAGCCCTGTGCTCTCTAGCAGAGTTGCATTAGCCCTGTCTGAGGAGCAGCTTGGGCAGAGAGATGAATATGCTAGACGTCCCTACTGGAGCAAGAGGAGATCTCTGTCACAGTTCTTCCCTGGGCTACCCCAGCGCAGTTCACATCACTCTGAGGTCAATAGGATATCAACCAGTGCTTACACTTAAGTATGTATTTAAGTGCATTGCTGGATTGGGGTCTCTGTTCTGAACCCAAGGCCCTTAAATTCAAACTTTGTTATGTGAGTAACTGGGAAAATATTTTCCTTTGCATCTTCCATTGGCTTGTTTTGTTACATAAACAAACAATGTTGCATTTATGCTATTGATTCACTGCTCTCCCCCCGTCCCCACCCCAATGCTGGAGAACAGGAGAAGTCACAAACAGAGACTGCCTGCAGATTTCTTACTCATTTACAATCTTATGTCATTTATTAACAAGCGTGGAATCGCTGAAGACTCTCAGTAATTTATTAACAGCCAGGAACACTGTGATATTTTACATATGCAATATAAGCTGGCTTTAAGCCTGGGGGTAGGCGTTCCTCTCTGTTTGTCAGAAAGATCAAAGTAAATAGGAAAAATTCTGTGAAGTACATTTTGATACTTAAGTATTTAGCCGTGTGACTTCCATTGATCCTGATGTAGTTCAGACAAGTAAAACTATGTGCAGATCTTTGAAAAGACGCCCTGTGCATTGAACCTTATTTTCATACGCTGCATTTCTTGTGGAACCCCTAGCAAACCAATCCTTTCCCTCTGCTAACCAGCCCTCTCTACTTGTGCAATGTAGTGGATTTCAGGTGGGACAGCTAGCAACACGGAAAAGTTCATAGAATCACAGAATATCAGGGTTGGAAGGGACCTTAGGAGGTCATCTAGTCCAACCCCCTGCTCAAAGCAGGACCAAATCCCAACTAAATCATCCCAGCCATTCACGTTTCTATCCTTTCATATATGGCAAGGGGTAGATTTGAAACCAGTCCTCATAGCAACGTCAGAAAACTTGAGAGTGGTTTGGGTATGCCACCAAGTCATCGTATAGCTCAGAACCACTGTCTTCGTCTCTGCCTGAGTGGGAGCCACCCTTCATGGAGGCCATTTCTAGAGTGTATTGATGATAGAAGTGCTAGTGCTCTAGCTGTTCGACAGATTGTTATGCACTGAAAGTCAATGGGCCAGATCCTCAGGAGGTGTAAGTCGGCATAGTTCTACTGAAGTCCTGGAGTTGTGGCCGTTGATACCAGCTTAGGATCTGGTCCGTGACCTTGGCGAATGCATTCCACTTTCAACTCAGATGTGGTTCTGGTTTTGCTTGCTTTTTGTAAGGCACAGGGTTTTATTTGGTTCTTTCTTTGGGTTTTGGACTCAATTATTAATTAGCCTATGGGAAGATGTTTGGGGACGGAGAGATGGGTGGGTAACCGTTACAGGTAAATCTTAGCTGTATGTAGGGTGACCAGATGTCCCAATTTTATAGGGACAGTCCTGATATTCAAGGCTTTTTCTTATATATGTGCCTATTACCCCTCCCAGTTTTTCATACTTGCTATCTGGTAACCCTAGCTGTATGCTCTGTGTGAAGGGGCTGGCTGCCTCCCAAGTGCCCCATTGTGGGCAGAGGTTGCTCTGCAGTGGCCCTGCCTCAGTTTCCCCACTTTTCAGGGCTCTCCCAATCAAGTTACCAAAACAAACTCTTCTCTGCTTCAACAACACCCATCCCAGGGGCTGGATTTAGTAACATAACAAAACTACCAACAGAGAGATCTCAAATTGCCTTCAAGTCCCTACTCCCCGTGTTTCCTGCAGGGGGTCTCCCAGACCCTCCCTGTGGGGAGCCCATTCCCTTAACACTCACTGTTCTCTGCTGCTGACTGTTCACTTGTAGCAGCCATTCCCTGGCTGGGGAAGCAGCTGGCTTCTGCTGAAGTTTCTTACTCCAGCTTCACTCTGGTTGTCTCCCCTCACCAGCTTCCTACTGCTCTTTATAGGGGAAGGAGCGCCTCCATATCCAGCGAGCTCTAATAATTAAACTCCACACCCCAGCCCAGGTGAGGTGGGCAGGGCTAATTGGATGGAGCTGACCAGTTCCAGGCCTTGGGCCCTTGCCCTCTGGTGTTGCAAACCTTAATAACATGTTAATAGTAAGTAAATCCCACTCAGACGTGTTGAATTGCTTGAGAACATCGTTAGAGCTGGGCAAGTTATGGTTGTTGAACATAGAGTAAATCAGAGTCCCCGCCCCAAACAGCTTACAGTCTAAAATCAAATGCAGCAAAGAGTCTTTTCAAATCTCCTGGTGCATAAAACCTGCCAATTTACTGCACTGGTATTTGTCACCCCTTGTATAGGCGAAATCATGAATGTTCAGGTCAGCAACTTTTATGGACAAGAACATTCTCTAAAGCCGAGGCCTCAAGAAAAACGAGTATTCACGAGAGCAGTCCCACTGGAAATGGTCTCACAGCCAGGAGGAGCAGCTCCCCCCTTGTCTGCGAAAGATTTGTTCAACAATTACAAACTGTAAACCAATTAATAGAAATCACAACCTACCTGTTCATGGAGAACTACTTCACAAACAGAGGTACCAGTTCAACATTGAAATCAATGGGATATTCCTCATGCGCTGCGGATTAAGCATCTGCATAAGCATCTTGTTTAACAGGGGCTAGAAAGGTGGCCTGAGTTTATAAATCCACGTAGGCCATCCTATTAGGAGACAAACCAATCACATGGTATGAATAGCAACTCATCAGTAGAGCTGTTCAGAAAACACAATTCCTTCCTCTGGGAAATTCAGTGTTTTGACATTTGTTTTTATCCTGGAAACAGAATAAAAATTTGAAATATCAGAAAATGTTCATGGAATGACAAGTGCTAAGAATTTGCTATTTGGAAAGGTTGACATGAAAAATTGTTGACTTTTGAGTGAAAAGAAAAGTTTCATTTCAAACTGGCAATTGGAAGTGAACATTTTTGTTTCAAACCTTCCCATCAGAAAATCTGAGAATGTAGTAAAAATCGATCCTTTCCCATGAAAGATGTTGATTTTGACAACCCTCTTTTTTATTCTGGGAAAATTGTTCGGTCAAAATATTTTGACCAACTCCACGGATGAACAGTGAATACTATTAGTCTCAGATATTTGAAGGTATTTAGGCGCCTGACTCCCATAGGAATCAATATACTGGATATTGAGGGTCTGGACCACGCTGATCAGTCTGCAGACAAGTCAGGAGCCAACTTGTTTGCAGAGTCTATTTGACAAACAACAGAGAATAACCTCCGAAGCCCTAAAAGTCACAGCCTGTTCATGGATAACTCACCAACAGGGGAAAAAAGGCTACATTTATTGCAATGAGTAGATCGACAAGCTCTAATCATAGCTTCTTTTGTAGAATTCAACTGGTGTGATTTGGTGTAGTGCGAGCATGTGGCTACTGTCATTTAAGACTGTCATCTGGTTCCCGTGCCCTGGCCTGGTCTGATCAAGATGCCTTTCACGATCAAGATGGCCTCATGGTGGATCCCGCAGTCTCAGGAAATGGGGGAGGGCAGCCATGACGGTAGAGCTCACTCCTTTCGGCCCACCTGTCTCCCTGCCCCCACTGAGCCACCCGCAGATAAACACTGCCCAGGAAGGGGTGGCAGCAGCATCTCATTAACAAGAACAATGAAACCACATTTCAGTGACTTCAGCTATAAAAACATCCCCCTCCGATTTCTGGAATCTTTCCGCTCATTGCCATGCCAACCTATAACCTTACTGGCAGCCTTGCAGACCCCTTAGCACATTGCTTTTAATCTAAACCATCCAGTTTGTCCCAGTCTGCTTGTCTCCAGCTTTTACTGAGTCTCAGAAACAATTTGATGTGAGAGGCTGTTACCTTGGGCAATGTAGAGGGCCAGGCCATCTCAAAAAAGGTCGCCCCATCTCAAAAAAGAAATATTGGAATTGGAAAAGGTTCAGAAAAGGGCAACAAAAATTATTAGGGGTATGAAACGGCTTCCATATGATTAAAAAGCCTGGGACTTTTCAGCTTGGAAAAGAGATGACTAAGGGGGGGATATGACAAAGGTCTATAAAATCATGACTGGTGTGGAGAAAGTAAATAAGGAAGTGTTATTTACTCCTCATAAACACAAGAACTAGGGGTCACTAAATGAAATTAATAGGCAGCAGGTTTAAAACAAATAAAAGGAAGTATTTTTTCACACCACGCAGTCAACCTGTGGAATTCTTTGCCAGAGGATGTTGTGAAGGCCAAGACTATAACAGGGTTCAAAAAAGAACTAGATACATTCATGGAGAATAAGCCCATCAACGGCTATTAGCCAGGATGGGCAGGGATGGTGTCCCTAGCCTCTGTTTGCCAGAAGCTAGGAATGGGCGACAGGGGATAGATCACTTGATGAGTCCCTGTTCTCTTCATTCCTTCTGGGGCACCTGGCCAAGGTGGGAAGACAGGATACTGGGCTAGATGGACCTTTGGTCTCACCCAGTATGGCTGTTCTTATGTTCTTATGTTCTTAAGGCCTAGCAGCCACCACTCACGAGGGACAGAGCACCACATGGAGGGGTTACACGGCACTGGGCCAGCTCACACTAGCCTCGTGTGTTGAATAGAACGAGCAGGCTCAGGAGAGCCGCCGTGCTCAGTGGAGGGAAGGCCGGCATCCCGGAGCTGCTGGAGGGGAGTAACTGCCTGTCAGGCGGAGTGTGAGGTGGAATAGCAAATATGGCAGGCGACCCAGCTTGGCTTAACAGAGAAATCTTCGGTGAGCGAAAACATAAAAAGGAAGCTTACGAGAAGTGGAAACTTGGACAGATGACTAGGGAGGAGTATAAAAATATTGCTCGAGCATGCAGGGGTGTAATCCGGAAGGCCAAAGCACAATTGGAGTTGCAGCTAGCAAGGGATGTGAAGGGTAACAAAAAGGGTTTCTACAGGTATGTTAGCAACAAGAAGGTGGTCAGGGAAAGTGTGGGACCCTTACTGAATGAGGGAGGGAACCTAGTGACAGATGATGTGGAAAAAGCTGAAGTACTCAATGCTTTTTTTGCCTCTGTCTTCACAGACAAGGCCAGCTCCCAGACTGCTGCACTGGGAAGCACAGTATGGGGAAGAGATGAGCAGCCCTCAGTGGTGAAAGAACAGGTAAAGGACTATTTAGCAGGGCTTTGGAGCTGTGCTCCAGCTCCAGGAAAAAACCTGCAGCTCCATTGCTCCGGAGCTGCTCCGCGCTCCAGCTCCGGGCTCCACTCCAAAGCCCTGCTATTTAGAAAAGCTGGACATGCAGAAGTCCATGGGGCTGGATGCAATGCGTCCGAGGGTGCGGAGGGAGTTGGCTGATGTGATTGCAGAGCCATTGGCCATTATCTTTGAAAACTTGTGGAGATCAGGGGAGGTCCCAGATGATTGGAAAAAGGCAAATATAGTGCCTATCTTTAAAAAAGGGAAGGAGGAGGATCCGGGGAACTACAGACCGGTCAGCCTCATCTCAGTCCCTGGAAAAATCATGGAGCAGGTCCTCAAAGAATCCACTTTGAAGCACTTGGAGGAGAGGAAGGTGATCAGGAACAGTCAACCTGGATTCACCAAGGGAAAATCATGCCTGACCAACCTGATTGCCTTCTATGATGAGAGAACTGGCTCGGTGGATATGGGGAAAGCAGTGGATGTGATATATCTTGACTTTAGCAAAGCTTTTGTTATGGTCTCCACAGTATTCTTGCCAGCAAGTTAAAAAAGTATGGACTGGATGAATGGACTATAAGGTGGATATAAAGCTGGCTAGATTGTCAGACTCAACAGGCATCAATGGCTTGATGTCTAGTTGGCAGCCGGTATCAAGCGGAGTGCCCCAGGGGTCAGTCACGGGGCCGGTTTTGTTCAACATCTTCATTAATGATCTGGATGATGGGATGGATTGCACCCTCAGCAAGTTCGCAGATGACACTAAACTGGGGGGAGAGGTAGATATGCTTGAGGGTAGGGATAGGGTCCAGAGTGACCTAGACAAATTGGAGGATTGGGCCAAAAGAAATCTGATGAGGTTCCACAAGGACAAGTGCAGAGTCCTGCACTTAGGATGGAAGAATCCCAGGCACTGCTACAGGCTGGGGACCGACTGGCTAAGCAGCAGTTCTGCAGAAAAGGACCTGGGGATTACAGTGGACTAGAAGCAGGATATGAGTGAACAGTGTGCCCTTGTTGCCGAGAAGGCTAACAGCATATTGGGCTGCATTAGTAAGAGCATTGCTAGCAAATCGAGGGAAATGATTATTCCCCTCTATTTGGCACTGATGGGGCCTCATCCGGAGTATTGCATCCAGTTTGGGCCCCCCCCCCACTACAGAAGGGATGTGGACAAATTGGAGAGAGTCCCGTGGAGGGCAACAAAAATGATTAGGGAGCTGGGGCACATGACTTACGAGGAGAGGCTGAGTCAACTGGGGTTATTTAGTCTGCAGAAGGGAAGAGTGAGGGGGGATTTCATAGCAGCCTTCAACTACCTGAAAGGGGGTTCCAAAGAGGATGGATCTAGACTGTTCTCAGTGGTGGCAGATGACAGAACAAGGAGTAATGGTCTCAAGTTGCAGTGGGGGAGGTCTAGGTTGGAAACACTATTTCACTAGGAGGGTGATGAAGCACTGGATTGGGTTACCTAGGGAGGTGGTGGAATCTCCATCCTTAGAAGTTTTTAAGGCCCGGCTTGACAAAGCCCTGGCTGGGATGATTTAGTTGGGGTTGGTCCCACTTTGAGCAGGGGGTTGGACTAGATGATTTCCTGAGGTCTCTTCCAACCCTAATCTTCTATGATTCTATGTGGAGGGCTTGCATGAGAACTGGTGCCGGGAAAGGGTCATCTTGACACTTGGTGACCTGCAGTTCTGAACTGAGCTGACTCCAGCCTGTCCTGCTCCTGGTCATGCTCCGGATGACTCCAGATCATCACATGATGGATTGCCATTGGAAAGACTGGGGGAGGGGACTCGTTCTCCCATTGCAGGCAGTCACAAGGGTTGAGGAATCCTGGATTTTGGAGAGGCTGATATAATTCTGGTCTGTCCATCCTGAGATGGACTCTGAGTTATTAGTAGAGTCATGTTAGTCTTCTTGTACTTGTTCTTTGAAGCCCAGACCCCTTCTCTTTGAGTTCAGTGTGTGTTATCCGTTTTTTACTAGTTTATTTCTCATTTCGGCTCATCCGTCTTTTAACCACAGACGGCTGGGACAAATCTGCTCCATCGTGGAGGCTACAGCTGGTCCACGGCTTAGCTGAACCCAGTGAGGCCATGCACAGCAATCTGCAACTCTGCTGCATGAACATGCTCATGCAGGCGTCCTCCTTTTCGCTGAAGATCCTAAATGCTAAGTCCAGGGCAGGCACTAGTGCAAGTTCTGTGCTAGTCCCACATTTGGCCATTAAATCCCTTCAACCCTATGTAAAGTACTCTTCCCGTAGTTGAAATCCATCCAACACATATTCTGGAGCTTCTCATTTTGCTCAAAAAATTCCCGTGTGTTGCAACAGACCCATACGTTTAGTATGGGGGTGTTTTTTAAATAAAAGTTAGGCTTGGTCAGATAAGGCCAGATTCCCAGCTGGTATAAAATCAGCATAACTCCACCCATTGCCTCCAAATCAACATAACTCCATTGCCTGTGAGGTGATGGGGAATTAGCTCAAATGGTGAAGCGCTCGCTTATTATGGGGGTTAGACTAGATGACCCTTGTGATCCCTTCTAACCCTATGGTTCTA